TTCTGTTGTCTTCTTGATTTATTTATCTAAAGAATCTGAAAAAATACAATGTTCTTGTGGATGCCACCTTATATAAATAGTTTGTGGGAAATCTGTAAGCAATCGCTAGAAACATATGTGAGCAATTACCAAAAACATATTTCCAAAGGATGCCCTATTAGCATGGCAGTGAACAGACCTGAGCATTCGTGCTGTGGCCAACAAGTTATACAATACTGGGCTAAAACAATTGGTCTGGAACCCAAAAGCTATGCAATTAATACTTGATAAGTAAATGGATTATCTTAAACAACGAAGTGTGCATCTACTGTATTCAGCACACTGTTTTTGGTTCTAGGGTTAGATCAATGACTTATAGTCCCTTCCCTGTGGAGTTGAGATTCTAGTTGAATATAGAAAACAAAACAAGCAAATTCATGGTGCATCAGATCTATGAAGAACAATGAACTAGGTGCTTGTGGCTAATGCTTATAATCTTAGCTACTCAGGAGGCTGAGATCTGTGGATTGTGGTTTGAAATTAGCCCAAGCAGGAAAGTCTATAAGATTCTTATTTATAATTAAGTGGCAAAATTAGTGAAAAAGGAGCTGTGGCTTAAGTTGTAGAGTGCTAACCTTTAGCAAAAAAAAAGCTCTGGGACAGATCCCAGAATCTTTATGCAAGCTCTAGGACCAGCACAGAAAAAGTGGGGAAAAAATGAAGCAGAGAAAGGACAGAAAGGAAATATCAAACAAGAAGAGGTTACTCTTACATAGCATAGAGTGATTTGGGAAAGTTGATATTTGAGCAGTTATCTTAAAGAAGGCTAGGGAAAACATTCCAAGAAAATGAGTACACAGATACTCTTTGCCCTTTGCAAGAATACTGCAGTAATTTTCAAAGGACAGCAAAGAAATCAATGTGGCTACAGGGAGTGAGAGAACTTCTATCTCCAGTTGAGAACAAGAAGAGTGGCAAGATACAGATCTTATAGGATGGAAAACGGATGCACTGTATTTAACGATAGGAGGAGCATTTGTAGTGGTGGGGGTGACTGTAATAAGAATCTTCTTAGTGAATTCAGAGATTATATTTTAACTTTTATTAGTAACTACATAGAAAGATTTTGAGGTTGGGAGCAAAGTTGTATATAGAAAATGACCTGATATATTCTAAAAGAAAGTTCTAAGAGATAGAGAAGTTATTGTTGAAATTACCCAGAGGCATAATAGATTTCACCTGGGTGGTGGCAGTGGGTCTGGAAAAAAATGTCCAGATTCTAGATGTATTTTCATAGTAAATGTAGTAGGAGTTGCTGAAGAGTTGAATGTTGGGTAGGCCATGAAGCGAGAAAACTTTAAAATTTTTATCCTAAGAAATGAGATGGGGGAAGCAGTGCAAAGAGTAGGCTTTGAGAGGTGGCTGGAATACTCAGTTTTGATCACCCTAAAACTTAAACACACATTAAACTTTCCAGCGGAATGTAGCATCGAGCTAGGCAAATCTGAAGTTCTTATTTATTTTTTATTTTTTTATTTTTTGTCGGTCTACGGGCTTGAACTCTGGGCCTGGACGCTGTCCCTCAGCTCTTCAGCTCAAGGCTAGCACTCTACCACTTGAGCCACAGCCCCACTTCTGGTTTTCTGGTGGTTAATTAGAGATAAGAGTCTCACAGACTTTCCTGCCCAGGCTGCCTTTGAATTGATCCTCAGATCTCAGCCTCCTGAGTAGGATTACAGGTGTGAGCCACTGGTGCCCAGCTTAAATCTGAAGTTCTTAAGGCAATATAATGTTTGGAGTCAACAGCATCTAAATGGGATGTAAAAATCAGGAGAATAGGTAACAATTACTGAAGGAGTAAGTACAGAGAGAGAACATAAGAGGTCTGGGGATTGTCAGTGTTCAAAGTTTAAGATGAGGAATATGCATTAAAGGAAACTTAGGAAGGGGAGAGAGAGAGTGATATCTACACACAGCAGGGCGAGATGGTATTTCAAGAAGGAAGGAGTGATCATCTGTGCCAAATGCTGCTGATAGGTATTGAAAAATAGTATAGGGGCTGGGAATGTGGCTTAGTGGTAGAGTGCTTGCCTACCATGCATGAAGCCCTGGGTTTGAGTCTCAGTAACATATAAACAGATAAAGCCGGAAGTGGTGCTGTGACTCAAGAGGCAGAGTGCTAGCCTTAAGCAAAAGAAGCTCAGGGACAATGCCCAGGCCCTGAGTTCAAGCCTCAGGATTGGCAAAAAAAAAATAAAAAGTATAGAAAACTCATCATTGGATTTAGCACAGTGGCAGCTACCAGTGACCTTGAAAGAAAAGTTTTAGTAAAATTGGATGTGTGTGTGTGTGTGAAAATTGGTAACTAACTTCTAGATACTTCATCAATGGTTTTGCTACATAGCCGTGAGTATTTCTGTTCTTTCAGTGAAATAATAATGAACACAATGAAGTGGTTATATTCTAGGAACTTGATGTTTAATTAAGAGCTACTTACATAGGGATTATGTGGTACCTGCTTTCACAGAAATGCTAACACAGCACATTGTTAAGAACCATTGATGCTTTTTCCTGTTTTGTACTTTGTGTTATTTTGAACTATCGATTTGAAAACTATTTGGTATATTTTGATCCATTGTAATCCTTTTCTTTGTTATTCAAATGCTACTTCTTGGACCAGTGAGAACTTCAAGTCAGCATCTATATCATTTGACATAGACTTCATGGTCTTTCATAGTTTTCTTGGTTTCTGATATGCACAGAATCCAGACCCATCTTATCCATATCCAGTCCTGAGACGGGATATTCATTTCACCAAGGTGCCTTGGTTTTGTCCAAAGACAACTGTTACTCAGAACCAATGTTTGGGGAAATTGGGATATATCTTATGATCATGTTCCTCTTTCAGCTTAGGCCTCTTTAGTGGACAGATGTAAGAAGCGCTTATTTCAAAGAGAAAAAAAATACAAGGTGAGTTCTCATTCATATTTTCAAGTCAACTATAGGACTAGGGAGTTTTTACTCAGATTATCTGACTTAGTATCTGTACACTCTCTTTCACTAAAAACATCTTGTAATACATTAGTGAACTGAGTAACTAAATTGGAAGGTGAGGCTATAAAAGGCCCTTCTTTTCACAGACCACTTTGGAGCTTGAATGATGTAAAGAACTGAGGGGACTGACACTGAATAAGAACTTTAAATGATAGAATCCCACAAGTTTAGGTTAGTATAAGATTTGTTTATGAGATTTTGGTACAAAGATGTTCTTACATAGGTATAATTCTAAAAATTCACAGATTGCTTCAAAATGAAGGGCCACAATTCTAATGAATGGAGTGGAGGAGACACTTATTTAGCTATTAGGAGATTTTTAAAAAATTATTTATATATTTTATTAATATTAGGAGATATTTTGTCATTTATATACTTTATTATTTATATATTTGGAAAATTTCAAGAGGTATATTTATTTTAGAAAATTCCCCTCAAAAACATGCTTCAACCTGTTAGAAAGGATGGCTACTTACTTAGGAAAAGTAAAAAGCTTTATTTTCTGATCCAGGGCTAGGTTTTAAAAATGTGTTGTGGAGTTGGGGGTATATGGTCTCAATGTGTGTGTGTGTGTGTGTGAGAGAGAGGGGGGGGGAGAAAGAGAAAGAGAAAAAAAGAGAAAAAGAAAGAGAGAGACCTGGTTGTAAGTGGAGCTTAATAACTGCACAAGGTCAGATTATTCCTCTCTCATACGGACAGAGGGACAAATTTCACACTCATTTCTGAGCTCTATTTTCACATTATATATTCATCAGTAATCTTGAAAAAAAAAGGAAAACATGTAATATCCTGACTTTGGGTTTTCTTTTTATGATACTGGCTTCCCTAGCTTTAAGAATTATTAAAAAAAGATGTTGCATTATCAATTAATGCTATATTTTATACTAATGTGTATGCTTGTATGCAAAGTAACTATATAAATCAGCACATGGGGTTTTAATGCTTCCTCTTATTTGGGGCAATTTCTTGGGAAATACAATATTTGGAAAGATACACTTGAAATTCTTCTAACTGATTCGGGGTTATATGTACATAATTTTGTGGAAGTGCTTTCTGTGAAGTGCTGGATTTGGGGGGTGAGTATTTTATATTGACATAAAAGGACTATTGCTTGCATTGCCTCTAAAGAGTCATTTGTGGTGGAGGGGGCTTATTGTGACACACTGAGGTAGGTTTTTTGAATGACATTGTAACTCTGTGCTATGTATACTCTGTCCTCTTTTCTGGGAGAACTTCTCTGTTCATGTCCTCCTCGCTGGTAACTTGCTGTAGACTTCAGCTTAAATATCATCTGTTCTGGGAAACTTTTCACAAGGGACTGATATCTAGTTGCTTCTGCACTTCTCCAATCAGAGTTCTTGCCAAACTCTGCCTTGAGTGATCGGCTTTTGGTCTGCTGATAGGAATAAGTGAACACAGTCCTTCCATTCTAGAATGATAACTTAGCTTTCCTCATAGTATTTTGTTGTTGGTGGTGGTAGTGGTGTTTGTGGGTGGAGCTTGAACTCTGGGCCTGAGTACTGTCACTGAGTGATTTTGCTCAAGGCTAGTGCTCTACCACTTTGGGCTACAGGTCCACTGCCAGTTTTCTGGTAGTTAATTGAAGATAAGAATCACACAGACTTTCCTGTCTGGACTGGCTTTGAGCTGTGATCCTCAGATCTCAGCCTCTTGAGTAGCTAGGATTATAGGTATGAGCCACCAGTGCCCAGATCCTTATAATATTTTTGTATGTCCTGATAAGGTGGTTCCTCACATAATGAACTATAACAACCACTAGAACTGTGGTATTCTAATTCACCAACTTCCACTTTTCCTTGATAGTTACACATTTACCATAAATTATGTCATTTATGCCGTCTGTATTTCCTTCAAATATTTAATGAATCAGTTCTTCAGGAATTAATGCCTGTACGCAGTAAAAGAACACACTATTTTTTTAAACAATTTAAATTTTATTGGTTTTGTTTACATAATAAGAAATCAGCAACTTCAGTGGTTGCCACTTTTTAAGTGACCACAGGAAAAAAAGCAAAATATAGAACTATTTTACATGTTTATGTTACAATTTTATAAAATTAGCTACAGTTTACTCATGTTTTGTTATCACTGGTGTTTTTTTGGCCATATATGCAAGTTGTTAATACTGAAAGGTGGTTGAACACATACCCATTAACAAATAAAGGAGAGAAAAGGTTAAAATCACTTAGGATTGTACATTAGGATTTTACTTAACATTCTTGTTAGTATTGCTTTGTCAGTTACTATAGTAAACTCTTCTTGGTATTAGAAAATACAAAGTTAGATAGTAGCACCTTTCATTTTGGTTTTAATTATGCAAAGAAAGCATTTGCATTTCTTGCCCCTATTTATATGTTAAAGTTTTGAACCAAATATTTTCCACATTTTATGTGTATATTATACAAAATAATGAGTTTCCTGTTGATATTTTCCTATATGCATATAAAGTACTTTGATCAGAAGAAGTGCATTAATACTGTGTGCATGCAGGTTAAAAAAACTGGCAAGATGATTACAGCTCTCTATGCTGAATGGGGAAGGAAAGGGTATTAGGATGTAAATGAGAAGGTTATTAGGACATAAAAACTTAGGACATAGTAATAAAATTGATCTAAACCTCAACAGGAATAAAAAAAATATATGCACCTGCTGCGAAAACATTAGTGACCTAAAGTTAATTTCAGATTGAATATCTGAAAAGTCTTTTACGCTGACAAGGTTTGAAAAAAAAATAGGAAGAACTTAGGAAACAAGAACTGTGAGTGACTTGTGAACAGAATCCATGGGGCATGGGGATTAATTATTGTCCTTTCTTTGTGACACGGTTGCATTTTGGTTTATTGTATATGGTCTCACAAGGTTTGGCAGAAAATAGCATTCCTAGCTGATTTCCAACATGTGGTCTGGCTTACTAAAAGGAAAAAGAAGGGGTGGGGGGGGTAGATTCAATTCGGTTATATTTTAAGACAGAGTTGAAACTCTTGGGCCCCTTTTGTTCCTGAAGTCACTCTGAGAACACTGCCCTGGGTTTTGCTGGAACAGAATCAGGACCTTTTGCATGGATGTGACAGGCAATGACGAACACCAGGCTAAGAATGGGAATATGTCCCCATGGATTTCCTCCAACCCCACCTCATTTCCTCTCTCTTCCGTTTCTGTGGTGCATACTTTCACACACTTCTCATCTGGACTTAACCTAAGGCACTTTGTGGAGAAGCTTAAAAAATTAGGCAAAAATGCACAAAGTAAAGTAATCTTTTTTTTCCCCCCCTAAAGGGTTCCACTAAAGCAATTTGTCCTTGAATTGATAGAAAAGCACTATATCCAGAACCTCTCTATTGCTTATGTACAAATATAATGTAAAAATTAGTAATCAACCTTATAGGTAGTTGCTAAATTGACTAATTTGTGTGATTGTAAAAGAGAGAATTTTAACTGCAATATGCTAGAGACCACTTTGCCCACAGCATGGCTCTGCTGCACATGGACACTGAACCAGACAATTCACATTCTGTCCATTATTGGGTCACTGGCATCTCTCTGTCCTAAAAATATGAACGCTGGGGCCTGCCCTTTGTTTTTATCATCTCCATGTAGTGTAGGTGACTATGTATTTACAGACAATACCGAACAAATAGAACTTAAACTACAGCAATGAAGGAATTGTTTAATAATACTGAAAAATACTGTAGGTAGTTGGAAGATCTCAAAAGAGTATGTTGTGTTAGCAACTGCAATCCATCTTTCTCTTTGAGACCTGTGATCCGAGCTAATGTAGAGTATGATGATTTTCCAAGGCAACCTTGATCTCTTAGACACTTCCTTCCCTATCATAAATGTTTCTAATGTTCCCTAAATCCACCAGCTAACCAGCTTTCACTTTTTGCATCCAATTACAGTCAGACCAAGGGTGTGACATTCTTTTCTTTTTTTCAAAGTTGTTTAATTAAAGAAAAACTGCAACTGAGGAATCAAAACTTCATTTAAAAATTTAGCTTCACCATGACTCATCTTCCTTTGTCCCGATTCATATAATTTAACAATGAACCTCATTTAAGATAAAGTGGCAGATGAATACACTGGAAGCTACTAAAAGCTATGCTGGAGTGCTAAGTATAATGGAAAACGTTAAGTGCGTTCCCCATGAAGCTTCTCAGTTCTCATGGCCTTTCCACTTTCCTTCTTGTGTTGTAAAGAGCTCATTAGGTGTCAAAGCAATCTCCCTTACATTGTCACATGGATTTGTGTGAACATACAGCTTTGTGTTTTGTTTTGGAAATGGATTTGTCCCATTTTAATGACTTCTGTCCAAAATAAAGAGAATGAGATTAAGATTCCCTCTCTCAAGATGAGCTGTACTTATTACTAGAACGGAAGTTGTCATATCCGTGATCATGAGCTTTGAACTTTAAGCAGGACTGCTTTTCCTCCAAGGACTGTTTTTCTTCAAATGACTGGCACCAGCAGCACAAGCATGACTGTACAAAACAAAGTAATGTGTCACATGCTGACATTTGTCACACTGTTACCCTTCCTCCTGCTCTTGGAGCTCTGGCTTTCATGCAGAATTGGAAGTTCTGGGGCCCTTTCTTCTCCAGGCTCTCTAGTTTTTCCCCTTAAAAAGACTTTTTTTCACTAAAAAAATACCAAAAGAGAAAATATCTATATAATTAAAATTAATCACCAAGAAGACACTACTCTTCTTGGTATTAACTCTTGGTGATTTGGTTGCTCTTATGATGTGATAAATGTAGAATGTAAAACTTTCTTCCTTGGAAACAGAAATATAATCTCATGCATGACTGTATTTGTCCATGTATATATAATTTATTTCAATGGGATACTGTATAACTTGTTTTACCTTATGTGATAGTAAGTATCTTTTAATCATAGTATTATAATAGCCCTTTTCAATATGCACAAAAGGAATATAGAACATTTAAGAGTATGCATTCAATTTTTCCTTTAAAAGTTTTTTTAAAAAAAATCCCAAAATTTGTTCATCATCTGTTTTATGAAAAACTATGTGTGAGAAAATAGGTCTGTTGTTTTCAGTTTTTAAAATAAGAGAGTTGATCTTATAAGTGTTCTTTACCTCCCTAAAAGAATGAGTTGTCATTACCTGACTTTTGAAATGGTAACCCTCTGTACAATACCTTAATAATAACAAAAGTATATTTAAAAAAAATCTGACTTATGGCCAGGTATTGGTAAATACCCTTGTAATCCTAGCTATGCAGGAGGCTGAAATCTGAGGATTGTGGTTCAAAGCCAACCTGAGGAAGAAAGCCTGTGAAACTTTTATCTTGAATTAACCACTAAAAAAGCTAGAAATAGAGCTGTGGCTCAAGTGGCAGAATTCTATGCATGAGCAAAAAAAGCTCAGGGACAGTGCCCAGGCCCTGAATTCAAGCCCCAGGACTGGTACAAATCAATCAATCAATCAATAAATTAATTCATTAAAAATGGGAGTTATGAATGAGCAAAGAATTTTATAGACTGTTGTAGTGTAACTAGGAAAGCAAATCTTTGTATTTTCAATGATAAAAGATTAGAGACAATGACTCATTCGATGTAAGGAGAAAGTATAGTTTATTTTGAATTGGATTGTTAAACAAAATAATGAATGTATAAATGGAAGTTAAAGTGTAGAGCTGAATGAGTACTAATTAAACATCTTACACATGGAACAGCAGCTCTGCTGTACATAGAAAGTGGAAAAGAAGAGGTAGAACCTGATTGTAAATTTTAATTTGATTTGCTATGTCTTTTTGTTTCCTACTGCTACCCCCAACTTCTGCCCAAGTGGTGGGGACAAAGCCCAGGGCCTTGTGCAAATGCTATACACTGAGCTAACTAGCTCCAGTCCTTCGATGTATTGTTCTTTTAGTTTGTGTGAAAAAGGGAGTCACATTTCTGATACAAATTGTGACTGAATAGTCCCACATCTGCCAAGTACAGAGGAACAATGCCTTTAATCATGTTTACAGTTTTTACCTTATTTGTGTGATACTTGTCACAATGCTTTCTTTTATTTTTCAGTACTGAGACTTGAATTCAGAACTTGTGCAAGCCTTTCCCAGTCCTGTTGCTTTTAGTTTGTTTTTCAGATAGGTTCTGGCACTTTTTCCTTGGCTAGTTTTGATTCTCCTCCCTCTGCCTTCTAAGGAACTAAAATTATAGGCATGCTCCTGAGTAATTTTATGAGTACAACTGATTGGCAAAAGCTGTAGGGAGTGTCTGGCTAGCACTGATAGACAAATATCATCCGTAATGATTTTTAAGCAGAAGTCATACTTTAAAATAAGCATCCATGATATAGTACAAAAGAACACTAAGCAATTATCTGAATCTCTCCAGCTAGAAACACTAATAATTTTCAAGGGTTAAATTTTACATCATACTACAAAAAAACTTCTGTTTTAGAATAGTCTCTTACCTTAAAACAGTTTTTGAACCTTTTGCTCACCAAGTACAGAGCAATTGGATTAATGCAGGAATTCAAGGAGGCCATATTGATGCCAATATAATCCAATACCAACAAAAAGCTGCCGAAACCAAAATGAACAAATAAATAGCCAACAAAAACAAAGTATCTGTCAAAAAATAATCCACATTGAGTGGAATATTGCACATTTTTGTAGTTTTGTGAAGACAAGAATTAGCCAGTGATTCTGAGGTTTTTTTTAATTTGCTTTTAGTGATGACCTCTGTGTCTGTTTGTCTCTAGCATTCTGTCTCTGTCTTCTCCACTGCCTTCCCCCATCCCCTCCTACCTTGTAAAGTAAAATTTCATTTGGAACTATTAAGGCTGGATGAAAAGAAAGGATTGACAAGTGCCAGGGAGAATCAGATCTGATATGGTCAATCTTGCCACTCCCCCATCGATGTGACAACTCTGCCTCCCTGTTCCCAGAGTTCTCGTAGGCCCCTTATTTCTCCTATGACACAGGAGTGAAAAGCAAAACTGGAAGTCTTAATTGCTCCCAAAGATTAGAAAAGTGGCACTCTCTCTCTGCCCATGAAAAGGATCGATGGAAACACTTCTGAATGGCACCTAATTACAGGATGATTTCTGTTATGCCTTTCTTACCTTAGAAGTTCACATCTGTTGGGATCACTCTGATCATAAAGTGTGAGCTTCAAAATCCTGCTCAGATGAAGGGGAAGCCAACAGAGAGCAAATACCAGGACGAGGCAAAACACTGTTTTGGCCACTTCCCGCCTCTGAAATAAAACCACAACCATACCCTTAAAAGTGATTTCTTCATATTCAAAAGTTATTTCCAAACAGAATACTTAGTATGATTTACAAAATCCAGAGACATTTGAAAAGACTCAGGATGCTCAGCTTTCAAGTGAAGAGTGAATGTTAACTAGAACTAAAATGACTAGAGTCATCTCTTAAAAGTGACAGTTCTCTTTAGAACTTTTTAGAATGTATAGAATATCTCTAATTAGACAAACCAGAAGTAAGAAAATGGAAATATGCTTTGGTGTATGATTTAGCTTTGATTTCATCATAATTTTTCTCAGTATTGCAATTACAGCCTTGAGCTGCTCATCTCGCATCTTCTTACCTGCTTTAAGTGATCATTTAAGGCAATTTGCATGCCACTTTTCTTTCTCAACATTTCACATGTCATCAGGGTATAAAAAAATGCAGTGATGGCCAATGGCAAGCAGAAATAGAAACTGAATAGCCACCAATCTTTAGCTTTCTTGTAAAACTAGGGAGAAGAGAGAATTTCGTGGTTAATACTTAAATTATATATATATATATATATATATATTAATGATTTTCTGGTATTTGGAATTGAACTCAGGTCCTTTTACCTGCTAGCCAAATATTCTCCCACTTGAATCATGCTGTACTAAATGTTAAACTTTAGAAAAAATATTCATCAAGGATTAATTTGCTTCTAATATGAATTTATTTTATAAATATTATATAGAACTTTTCAGCCTACATCTGCTGAACAAATAATTAAAGAGATGCATTAAATGAAACTTTCCAAAACATGTTTCAGTTATCTGGGAAAGTATAGCAACTATGTCCAATATATTGGGTAAAATTTAGTATTTCCACTTCACATAAGCAGGCTATCATTAGAGGATTATTTGTGCTTAATATCTTACCTGAAAATGTAAAGATATTCTAATACTTAGGTGAAATTTTCACTTTTTATTAAATGTGTTTAATGGTCAGTTACAAAAAGGTATATTAACAATTAAGATCAGTGTTATCTAAATCTAAGTCAATTAAAAACTATCAAATATTCATGAGCCATTGTCTTTTCTCTTATTCTTTTTCTATTCTTCCACTTTTTTCTAAAAGGGTTGTTTAATCTGTATCTGTGCCTATGTGGCATACCCTGTCTTTTTACTAGTAAGGCAACAATATCATTTTCAAGTTCATGCTAATCTCCTTCATTATGTTCTTACTTCCTGGGATATACTCAATTCACAAAGTTTTATACAGTCATCTTATAAATAATGGAAAATAGAAATTAATCCTTGGTAATAGTTAGACCAACCCCTTTTGCATTAACGTCTTTCCACCTATTCTGTTGAAAATATCTTTTTATATTTAATGTTTTTGTTTGGAGTCTAATATCATTGTTTCTTTCTTATTTCCTAATCAAATAATTCTTTTTTTCCTTGTGCTGGTCCTGGGGCTTGAATTTGGGTTGAGTGCTGTCCCTGAGCTTTTCTGCTCAAGGTCAGTTCTGTACTACTTAAGCAAAGCTCCACTTTTGGCTTTTTTGGTAGTTAATTAGAGGTAAAAATCTCACAGACTTTCCTGCCTGGGCTGGCTTCAAACCATGATCCTCATATCTCTGCCTTCTGAGTGGTTAGGATTATAGGCATGAGCCACTGGCACCTTGCTCAACCATTATTTAATAAATGGCCAAGATTTTTTTTTTAATGCCAAGGCAGTTTTCCTTTTGCCATCAGAGCAATAGATGGTCCAGCTTGTCATGCAGAATCCATGCATACCAGGTAACTTCTATATAAACACTGGCTTTGAATCATCCTTGCCTTTTGTGACTTTTGAGCTTACACAGATTGTAGAACAGTAAAAAGTTCTGAATGGTCTTTGAGTACAAAAATTATAATTTTTACATCAGTTCTCATGTGAACTTGGTTTATCTTTGTTCATAAGATCCAGGGTTCTCAGGGAACCCTCTGGATTCTTGCAAGTTGGGTCATTAGTCATGGTTAGGAATCTATTCTCTTAATTTCTGCCAGTGATAAACTCATAAACTAACAGCTTCCTAAGGGAGAGGGACTAGAAAAAAGTAGCTAATGTTCAGGAAGAAATATCAGCAAAAGAAAGAAAACAAAAGGAAAATTCACCTGCATGAAGGCTGTTTGCTGTACAGGATGCAACATACAAATATGTAGATGTCTTCCTTGGTAGTCCATGGAAATCATGTCAAAAGCTATAGCTTCAGGGACAGCCAGAACTATGGAGGCCACCCAAATTAAAGCAATTTCTACTGCTGTCCATTTTGGAACACCAATTCCTTTAATGCGACTCCACGACGCAACGGCTCGATATCTGAAGATGAAAATAGAACTGTTTTCCAAGCTGGGAGAGCTTGGTTTTATTGAATTTACGTAGTTTATTTCTTAAACAAATAGTAGCAACAGCAGTATCTTGCTTAGGATCTTTTGTGACTAAAAAAAAACTCTCACCTGTCAATACTTAGAGCACATAGACTCAGCACAGTGATTCCCACAGAGGCCTTCTGTATGAAAGGCACCAGCTTACACATCTCAACTCCAAATGGCCAGTCCTTTGCAAGGAGCTGCATAGAGGACACATGAAACTCTGTTAGAGAGCCTTACAAAGGCCCCCTCTGAATGGCATTACTACAATAACACATTACTTACAGAGTAATTAATATGTATGGTTCTTACTCTCGTAGACAACTCCTTTGTAAAGCACCAGTGTTTAATATGTACAACGAGAGAAAAGATTGGGAATAATAAAGACATGGCTAGTTATTGAGAATTCATCATGCTGTATAATAAGCGTAGTTGGGATTCCTCTGGGCACAGTGGGAAGCTATACACTATCATACAGACTCAAAGCTCAGGTTAAGGACAAACCAAAGTGTAGACTAGTTTAAAATAGATGATAAATATTTCTTAGTGGAAAAGACTAGAGTATTCCTATGGAACAGTACTTATTATACTTAATATAAGAACAACTTATTCTTTGGTGTAACCAATTTCTTTAATTGGATAGTAACTCAGAGTAATCACATTGCTCTCTGAGCACATTAGTACCTTCCTGCTACACTGTGGCTGACTCTAGCTCTTTCTCTATCTTGGAAGGTTCTTTAATAAAAAAAAAATCTTGGCTAAGTCTCTTACTTCTTTCTGGTTGCTCAAGTCTCTTTCTAATATAACCTACTTTGACCACGCTGTTAAATACAGTAGTAATGGTCAGATCTTTCCATTTCCCTGATCTTATCCCACTTTGTCTTTTATCTGTTCTAGTTCTGGGACTTGAACTCAGGACCTAGATGCTGTCCTTGAGCTTTCTTGCTCATGGCTAGTACCATACCACTTGAGCAATTGCTCTATTTCTAGCTTTTTGGTGATTAGAGATGAATCTTATGGACTTTCCTGTCCAGGTTGACTTTGAATGTTGATCCTCAGATCTCATTCTCTTGAGTGGCTAGTATTACAGACATGAAATACTAGTGCCCAGACTCACTTCTGTTTTTTCAATAGCAATTGCCACTTCCTATTGCATAGAACACTTACTTGGTTGCTTGTTTTTTACTGTCTCCCTTCTTAGACAGAATATCAATTCTTCAATTGCCTAGGATAATGTCTGACACAAAGTAAATAAAAGCTTAAGAAACATATATGCTATCTATCTATATATCAGTAAATACAATGAACCTATTCTTGATATTAAATATATGTGATTTCTCTTTATCTGAATACAGACTAATGACACTACCCATCATTAAATGTGGTTATTTTCTTTTCTTTGGACAAATTGTCACTAATGAATTGTGGTAGATGAACCACTCTAAGTAAACATATGGATGTAATGCTCTTGAGGTTTTAAGCACAAAGAAAATTATTTTAAGTCTTTGGGTTGAAAAATTATTTTAGAAATACCTTCCAAAGTGAAAACTATTTTGAAACATAATTGGGCATGTCTGACCTTTATCTAGGCTAACATATGTGCCTCATTATGAATAGAATTTCATTTCTAAACTAAATGTGACAAATATACACAGATATATACACAGATATATGGAACCAATGCTGGAAGACTTAAGATATATGTGTTTAAGGTAGAGCTCTGACCTACAGAGCAAGGTAAAGTTAACAGAGCAGTAAAGAGACAGCTCTAACCAAAGTCATTAGTTTCGTGAAGAGAATGAGGAGTGATGGATCTGGAATAATTAATCCCCATTTGAAAGGAGCATCTGCCAAGAAACATCATGCTAGGAACCCCATATATATACACACACATATATATGTATGTATGTATGTGTATGCATACATATGTATATATGTCTCTTGAATTTTCATAAGGGACCAGAGGTAGAATTTTTATATGACATCTGACAATTTATAAAAGCTACTGGCTAATTCATATTTTAAAAAGATAATTACATACTGTTGTATTAACCAATCTTGTGACTTCTGGATTAATCAATTGAATTAAACCCTTAACTCTCATTTGTTAGTTGATTCAGTAAGTATTGAGTATTCAAAATTGCCAAGAACTGTTTTGTATACAGGATGCATGAAAAACAACTATTGAACATGTAAACCATCCTGCTCTTGTGGATCGTAGAGTCTGGTTAGGGAGACATAAAAAGCTACCAATATTAGATACGTTGCCAAATAGAAACAATCCTCTCAAGATGGTGATGGTAGGATTTGGTGCTTTCTTTCTTTCTTTTTTTTTTTAAAGATTAAGTAGTTGTGCAAAGAGATTACAAGAGGTGCTTTCTTGATAGATTTCTCAACAAGATTCCTTGGAAGATATAAAAACTTAACTAAAACAAAGGATTATACCATACAAAGAGAATCTGCAAAGTGCTAGGTATCAACTCAAGCCTGATGAACTGCAGAGACAGCAAGAAGGCTTCAAGGCTAGAACTTAGTAGCCTAGCCAAGTAGAGAGGAGATGGAGTTGTAGATGTAATGTGAATGCTTTTTTTTTTTTTTTTTTTTTAAGGAAAATTTACTGCAGAGTTTGAGTGGGAAAAGGGCATGATATTGTTTATCATTGTTAAAAATGTCATTCTGGATGCTCAGTTTAGAATAGAATATGTGGTCAAGACGTAAGCACTGGAAAGAACTGGTTGTAGGCTAGGACCATGTGATGCCCTTGTAACTGAGCCTTCATGGGTAAATTAATGAAATGTTTTTCTTGTAAGAAGTCTGTCCCAGTGTCCCTCCCTAGTTCAAGCTATAAAACCAAGACAGAGCACATTCTTTCTTTTCTCTGGTCAAGCTGACCAGATGGTGAACATGTTCTCTCCCTTCCATTCCTATGATTGTAACTATTGTAGCTCTCATTCAAACCTTGCCTTTGGTTGCAGAGAAATGAAATAAAGATATCACAAGATGATTTATAGGGTGAACATCACTTAGTGGCCTAGCAGATGCCACCTGTGTCAAAAATCTCCAAATCTTGACTTTTATTAACTCGTGAAAGTACTAGTTGGCCTCTGGGCTCCCCTTTCTGTGAACTTTTCCCGTATATAACCCACAACCATGCTTGCTGGGGAAGGTGGATTTGAGGCCTTGATTCTCTCATTTCCATAGATACCTTTCTCTACTTTCAGCATTAATGTTTGGTATTTTGTTCATATCACGCATCCAAGTTTTGGGATTTGGTAGCCAGGATTGCCTAGGATGGATTTGCATCTTGGACAAGTTGACTACTTTCAGAGTCACTAATATTTGTCCTATTTGTCTTGGAACATCTTCTCTGAGGATATAATTAAAAAATGCTTTGAAAGAAATAATTTCTAATTATGCATCTATTCAAAGTGATAAAGGATTACTTTTATGGTGAAAATAACTCAAAAACCATATTGCCTTAGGCATCACCTGGAAATTATATGTTTCATGGAGAACACAATCTGCCAGAAAGGCAGAGCAATGGATGACACTTCTAAAGAACTTTGATAGAAATCAGTTTGACATGGAATAAGGGGGTTACTTTTTCTTTGCTTTGGGTAAGAAGGGAATGGAGGAACAGGCTCCAATTCCATCCATATGGATTAACCTATGGAGATCATTCCAGGTATCTCCCACCAGAGGGAGACCTGACTGTAGAAAGAGAAATCTGTTACTAGTTGCTTGGAAATGAGGTTCCCCCTTCCTCCCCCCCTCCCCCTGTTCCCAAATATCATATAGTTCCCACAAACATTCCTCTTTATCACTTTAAGGCTAGAGACTGAGTCTTTATATTCTGGAAAAAAACAAAACAAAGCAAAACAAGGGACTGAGGAGTAACTTGGTATAAAGTGGAGCAGACCTTGTAATCTGGATACCCACTGGGCTGTTAATCTTTCAGGGATTAATGCTTGAATATATCACACCCAAGTCAAGCTTGACCTGCTAGAGTCTGACTCCAAAGCAACCAAAGAAATTGGTGGACAACCAGTATGATCACAACTTAAATTACTCTTCAAAGAAGCTGCTTCTAAAGATCAATAGCTAAGACTATATGTGATTTCAGTTGCATCGTTATTAACACAGTTATTCATCCCTAGCTACATTTTTGTCATTTCCCTGAAAACTAACCACTATAATTCCATTTAAATTATATCTTTCTTGATTCTTGTATTTGTATAGAAAGACAATTGTATGACCCAGATTTCCCTGGCTAGAGCAGAAAAGCACTGATAATAGGCTTTGTCATCCAAAACCCCTTATGGTAGATGATCATACCAATCCCTTGGTTTTACCAGTAACTAACTCTTTTAGGATTCCTGTACAATATAATAAAAAACTCTCTAGAGTAAATACTGAATAAGGGTAATCATCTTAGAGCTCATGTACACCCACACCTAGAGAGAACTTGTCTACTGGTTATTTGTCCACACTTCTTTAAGTCTTCCACAGAGAAGCTTGATCTTTGTCCCATACCCTATGGTCATGAATTGTCCTGAGCTTGATATCAATATAATCACAGTCATCTAGTTATTTGATGATAATTTTCTACTAAATTCTGCGTAAGGAAAGCCACTTTGAGGGCCTCCCAGGACAACTTTGATGAAGAAATAGCCATACCCTTTCCTTTTGGTCAGTGTATGGAGGGGTCAATATTTGGGACATTCAGAGTTTACACTCCTCCTAGTATAAATCTTTAAAGGTCTTTGCAATCAACAAACCTGAAAAATAAAACATCAAGTAAAATGTCAAACCACAATGGTTACAGATTCCAGGTTTGGTACAGTCCAGGAAACTGAGACCCAAGGTACAGAGCTCAATTTAAATAATTTATTAAGCATCCGATGTGTTCTGGTTAGATACTTGTTTGTTTACGGGAGCTTTGAAGGAATTTCACAGACAAGTAAACATCTGGTTATCTGGAGAATAGAGAGGACTTGTCTACTGGTTATCTGTCCAAACTTCTTTCCAGCCACCACCAGTTCCAAGAAACAAAGCACTTGATCAGTTCTCTAAAAGTGTTCTCAAGAACTGAGAGGTGGGGCTGGGAAGGTGGCTCAGTGGTAGAGTGCTTGCCTTGCATGCATGAGGCCCTGGGTTCGATTCCCTCAGCACCACATAAGCAAAAAGAAAAAAGCTGGAA